TAATTATAAAGTAAAAAATATCAACCAAATTATAGAAAAACAAAAAGCACAATACATATAATATAATTACAGTATTTAATAAATTAAGATTATTATAGTAAATAAAATAAATATAATTATGACAGTACAAAACATACAAAATAAAATAAACATATTGATAGTGACATAAACTAACAAATATCATAATAATTGGAATAATAATTAAAGAATAAAACTAATAAATAAATATAAAACATAAAAAAAAAAATTCATATTCGGATCACTATAGATCTACATCGATCAAAAATAAACTCCATTTTAAATCTCGTCTTTTTGTAATGCCTCTTTTCCCCTGCTTTGTCACTTTTCCAGACCAATTTGAGATTTATTTGCTGCAAATTTTCAGACCATTTTTTATCTGCATATATACAAAATAAGCTGCATTTTAAATATCATTAACGTAAAAAATTATCTTACAATTTTTCAGACCATAATTGGTCTGGAAATATGGGGGAAATAACAACTTTGCTGCATTTATTCGAACCAAAATTGGTTTGAAACTCACATTTATTATCTGTAATTTTCTGGACCATTTTTGGTCTGTATATATCCAAAATGCAAAGCACCTGCAATATCATAAATAAATTCAGAAATTATTTAGTCATTTTTCAGACCATTATTGGTTTGGAAATATGAAAAAAAATACCGCTGCTTCACCTGTATTATTTTTTTTTTCGTTGACAATATTCAGACCATAATCGGTCTGAAAATATTTCATGGGTTTTACTATACTCCCACAAAATATTTTCAGACCGTTTATGGTCTGAATATTGAAAATTGACTGTGGCTTTGATACCCATCAATATTCAAACCAACTTTGGTCCGAATAAATATTTTTTTAGACTAATGATAATTGGTCTGAATTATTTCGATCTGAATTTCAACAATTTCTAGTAGCGCGTAGAACCTTGCATACAACAACCCAACCTTTATTTGTTGTAACATTACAAGTTCTGTACTCTTGTAAAATAAGTTCTATGCCACCACATGTTCCTTGCCAAAGAGAGTTTGAATGCAAAGTACTATATTTTGTGAAATGAGAGTGTAGGCTATAAAGATTACATATATATATTTGGTAGAAATGGGGGCTGCCTATTTATAGGCCTTCACAACGTAATCGAAGTTAATAAAATGAGAAACTGTTAAAATTTAAAATGAAATTTGCAGTTACAAAAACAAGATTTGGAATCAATAGGTTATTCATGAAACCAAATGCAATAATTAGGAATGAAGGACAAGGGGGGAAGCCGCCCCCCAAACTCTTGAAAAATATTTAATATGGTAGTCTAACTTTTATTTGTAAAAAAATTTGTTTCTATAATTTGAATTTTAAGGAACATTTCAGATTTAGAAAAAATATTTAGAATATAAATAAAGAGTTTTCAAAAAATAAGGATATGATTCGAATAAAATGAATTTTCTGTCAATGTAATTAATTAGTAATATGGGTTCTTGAACATTGTAATATCCCAAAATTTTGTGATATTTTAGCATTTAAGTAAGGGTTTTTGTGAGAAAAAATATTGTTTTGGGTTTAATAGCCAACATTTCCAAACTTGAGGGACTTAAAAGAGAAAAATTAGGATAAAAAGGGGTACGGCTGGTAATTCTTCCTCAGCCACACGGGTCATCTTCTTCCCCGTTGCAGCCCACCCGAAAAAAGAAAAAAAAAAAAAAAGAACCAAGCTGCCGGCAACAATTTTCTTGAGGAAACCGGTAGAAAGCTTGAAATTTCTCTTTCTTTTCTTGTTAAATAACAAGCATTAGGACTTAGAAACCCTCCCTAAAGCAAGGAATTTCAGATCTGCAGTTTCTCTTCCTCCCCCGTCCGCCGGCTGCTAGTGGGTGTGCGAATTTCTGGGCATTTTTCGGTAAGAACAGCCATTAATCCATCTTTTTTCCTTGAATTGGCTTGGGTTTACCTTAATTTCCCTTGGTTTCCCAATTTCCAGTGGATTTCTTGATATTTCTCCCCAAATTCCCGCCGGCTTCTCCCCCCTCCAGGTTCGGCTCTGCAGCTGCTAAATTCTGGTATGTTGACAGCTCCAAGCCTGAAATTTTATCAGTTAATTGCTGCCCTGTGTTGTCCAAATTTTTGCTAAAATGGGGGGGGG